TCCTGACATTATCTGAGAAGACCACTTCCTGAGATGACCGTGTAAGCCCCCAATATACTGTTATAATTCCCATGCACGTCACAAACAGAAATTAGGTGAAAAAGTCAAGTTGGACTATCTTAAATCTGATTACTTTTATTGCCTCTGACCTTAACAGGCCTCCCTTTGAGAATTCACGAATCCAAAAGGATTGGAGAAAGGAACATCAGGTTGCTAGTGTTTTTATCAATTAATAATCATTTAGTATTTCATAGGGGCAAAATTCTTTATAATAATTGTTACCATTTCGACCCTAAATCTGTAGGCAGGTAAATATCACCTCGACTGGAAAAGCTGAAGTAGAACATAGAGGGCTTCTAACACTCCATAAAATAGAAAGTCCAGAGCTACCAGTTAGCCCTCAGGGGGGCAGGAATTCCAGATTCTCCAACCTACACCTGCCTCACGGTGACCTCTTCCTTCTGAATCTGGAGTCCAAAGTTGATATCTGCTTCCTCTGAGACAGATTTTTTTTAATTCCCATTCTTTCCATGCAGATTTTTTGTATGCCTCGTCTAATAACTCCAGGCTCTGTTCTGGGAACTAGGGCTCTCCGTGGTGATGGTGGTGTCCTGTTGACCCCAGGTCAGAATGGTCCAATGACAATGAGGACCTTTTTATAGGGACCCCCAGGCCGAGCTTTTCCATAGTCCACGTATATTGCCCTTTGCAATCCCAGAGCAAGAGGTCCCATCTGCCTTCTTGCATTTCACCACTTTTTCTACCCTCTGCTCAGCCCCTGATACCCGATTGCATTTCGACGACTTTAAGAAGCTCCACTGGGGAATAAAGAGAAGGGAAATACCATCTTCAATCACCAAAAATCAATTTGGGAGAGGACAGGATTTAGCTAAGGCAATATAGGGTAGAGAAATTAAAAAAAGAGAGAGAAGAAATAAAAGAAAAGGAAGAAGGAAAAGAATAATCTATTCACGAGCATTTAGGAGAGTTGGGTTCATTGCAAGCCCGAAAGCCATACCTTGAATACAACTGACTAAGATAGCCACCTTCGTAGTAGCCAACCCCGGACGCGGGCTGGTGCCATTCCCCAGGCCTGGGTGCATGGAGGGGCTGCCGGTGGTCTGCCCTGGGGTCCTGCGGTGGCTGGGGGCTCCCGCGGACATCTTGCCGCTGATGGAACCTCTCTCTGTTGTGCTGGGAGTGAGGAACCGGCCGATGATGTCCATCTCTCTGAAGCCTTGGGTCTGGATCGGGCGGGGGTGCGAGGGGCCTCCCCCGTGGCTGAGGCGGCCTCTGGGGAACCCAGAATTCCATCCCTGACCCTCTGAATTTCTCTTGGGCTGTGAGTCAGTGTATAGTTATTTTACCTTCCTGTAGACAAAAACAAAAGGAAAAACATCGTCATTTTAAGCTTATCTCCAAACATGGTGATTGATTAGGTTTTGTGAAAAGAGTAGCTACGGTCCTTGAAATCTATCTGAAATAAACCGTGTGGGCTTGGATACAGAGCAATCTGAAAAACACATCAAGCAGACACTCGAAATAAATAACAGACTAGATAATTATATTGACGTTGCTTAAGAAAATTAAAAAGTACATTTGGAACAACAGATGGTGAGGCATGGGAGACAGATAACAGTGATAGGCGCAGCTAGAAATGCTATCGAGGAGCCCCAATTAGTGTGTGCTCAGATATTCTACTAGCAAATATTTATTTAACACTCCTGTGGAGGCCCCGTGGTTTCACAGAAATAGAGTGGGCCTCAGAGAGAACTGGACCAGAGTTCAAATCCTAATTCTGCTATTTACTAGCTAGTTCATGCTTTCAAGCCTCGGTTTCCTTTCCCATAAAATGGGTCCCTTAATAAACTACCTTGCAGGGTCACTGTCAGAGCTAGAGACGGCATATGGAACGTGCCTAACACACTGCCCATTATATAGTAATTGCTCAATAAATGGTGTTCTCAGGAATAAAGATTAGGGTAGTGTGAGTGGCTGGAGACATTTCCTAAACAAAAAGAAGCTAAACTGATCTCTTCAAGAGATAAACTTCTAGAATCCTTACACCACCCCCCCCCAGAAGAACGAGACCCTATTACATGGTCATACCTGCCCCTCCTCCAGGCCTGCCAACGAAGGGCAAGTTTGAGATTGCCTACAGGAAAAAATAGACAGCGTGTCTCCAGATTCTTCCTGGCTGGAGACTTTAAACCTTGGAAGTCTCCCTAGTGTCAAACTGATTTCCTTCACTTATTGTTCAAAATGGGAAATAGCTCCAGAGACTGATGACCTTCCGATTTGCTCTCTCTGTGTCACAGGGGACACCTGCAAAGGGAAAGAGCACTAGACTCACTCCTGCTCAGAGACTCTCCTGTGTGAGGAGCGCACAGCTAGGTCGGCCCCGCCTTTCTCCTCCCCTGGGAACTGTCTTAAATCGCAAGATCCTTAAAGAAGCAGTTAACTCACTCCCGCTCCTGAAGCTCCCAGCCCCACTTAAAAATTCCTGTTGGAACAAAAGGTCAAAGGGTGTGTGTTGAAACCAGGATGTCACTCTGCTCAAACACCACGGAGCCGGGGTCCACAGCGTGAGCCCAGAGCTACGAGACAGCAGAACGCACAAGCAGAGCGAGGCGCAGGGGTGCCTTCCACCCCGGGTCAGTCCCAGCGAAAGAGAACCCGCGCTTCCTTCCCCTGCGCTCACTCCCTTGGAAAAGCCAGGCGCGATGAGAGCCTTTGCCAGCAAATCCCGGGAAAGGACAAGTCCCCAGACACAGGGCCCGTAAGCCTCTCTGGAAGGCCCGTGGAACTCAAAGCCATCTGGATGCACGTGAGTGGAACGAGAAGACAGCGACTCTCCATTTGTCCCCGGACGGTCTCGCTGCGCAGCCCTTCCCCAGTTGCAAAGGCATAACACCCGGTCTCTTCCCTGAAATCGCACCATTTTGTTGCCAAGAGACGCCAACTCCAGCAAGTTAGACCTTGGGTTATGCGTAAGGACACCAGATGAAGAGCACCTTAGACTCTCAATGGGAAGGAATTTCATCTATGGTGACAGATCACACTCACACGCTCACATAAATGACCCTCCCTGGCCCCAATATTGTCCTCCCTACTCTGACAGCGCAGCAAGCACAGCTCGAGGACGGGAAAGACGGCAGCTGGCACTGCCACGCACCTGCTCCGACGGCGTCCCCTTCCTCCAGCCCTGCTCCGGGGACCTGGCCTCGGAGTGCCTCCTCTCCTCCCGGGGGCTGTCAAAGTCCAGGTGCCACATCTACCAAGATTTCCCTGGCCCTCGATCTGCAGCAAGCCAGTCACCTTTGCAACTGCCCAGCCTCCCCGGCCTGATTCACCGGTCAAAGTTCGGCCCGGCCTCTGCAGCCTGGGAGCCGCCTGACCCGGCGGCCGCGCCCTCGACCCCGTCCGAGAGCGGTGCCTGTGTGCCTGCTCACGCCGGCCAGGCTCCCGCGCGGGGAAGGCCTCCAACCCCCACAGCAAACACGGAAGGCAGCCGCCCGAAGGAGTCTGGGAAGCCCGGGGCGGCTGGGCCTGGCAAGACGAGACGAGCCCGGCCTTCGGGGCGCTGCCTCGGGCCTGCCCGCTGCTCTCTCCCTCAACTCCTGAGACCCCGTTCCCTTTGCTCTAGAACAGGAACGCCGACGCTTAGCTCACGGCGGGCATTGGGAGGATTAAATATCGATAAATAATTATGCTCTATACATAAATATTATCTTTTCCTTTCAAAGGAGAAGAGCTAATTCCCCCGGCGGGCAGGGCCGGGGAGGAGGGCTGCGGCGGGCGCGCTGCTGGGCAGGAAACCCCCGCGAGCCTGGTCTGGGCTCCTCGTGTGCGCTTCTCCCCGCCGGGCTCTGGCTGCGCATCGGCTCTGCTGTCTAGCTGCAAGGCAGGTGGGGTAAATGCCCAGCACTGAACCGAAGGCGCTGAAATGTTTTCTACTATAACAGCAGAGTAATTTGAATTATATGTATTTCCTCAGCATTGTTAAGGTAAACGCAGAGAAGCGCATGTCTACTTTTGAATTGATATTTTAATATTCAGAATTTGCTCTAAAAAAGCTGAAGTGGTTTATTCTTTCAGCAAATGCTTACCAAGTTCCTATTATGTACCAGGATTTGACGCGTGTACATATAAAAGACACAGGCCTTGCATTCAAAAAGCTTAGAGCCCATGAGCCTCTCGTGTTGTTACTAGTCCGCGCTTGGTCTCACGGTCAGATGGGGCAATGCGGCTAAGCTGTAAGATTCTCTCTCGGCCCCCCCAGTGACCCCCAGAACCCAGCAGCTGGGTGCAGGATCCTGACTGGGGGTGATGGTCTCGCCTCATTGCTGGGCCATGCAGCTTGGCTCACTGATGACCGCACTGTTGTTTTTAATCCCCCTGGGAAGAGGTACTGGGGAAGGACACGCACACTGACAGCAGGAATCGGAACACGGGCGATTATGACACAGACTTAAGGTCGAATTATGTGTTCTGATACGTCACGGTAACATTCCCAAAAGTCTGACGTAACTCATTTGGTCTATTAAAAAAAATTGGTCTTGCCCTACAACACCAGCTGCATTAGCAGAATGTTAACTTTGGAAAGGACCTTAGAGGTTATCAGGAACCCCACTTTTTTGCTGATAAAACAAAGACCCAGAGAATTGACTTACCCAAGAACACAAAGCTAACTGGAATCTCAGTGAGGATTGTGTTGCTGCGTTGTTGCTGCCTCGCACAGTGCTGACAAGAGCTGATTATTAAATATTCAGGAATTGTGTGAGCCGGTTACCAAGCCATGGATAATTTGAAATCCTCCATGGTGGGAGTATTTACACCACAGAAATTGGCAAATGCTACAAAGCAAGGTTGCTGGTGGGTTTTTTGGTTTTCTTGGTTTTTGTTTTTTCAGAAAGCCAGTTTACCAGCATACTGATTTCAGCCCCAAACTCTCAATCCCTAATTCCGTGTTCCTGCAATTATAGAATTGCCATTCCATCACTAGCCTTCGATGCAGTTTAAACATCTAGCCCAGTTATTCCAAACGCTCCTTTTGTGACAGCCCAAAGCATCTCTAATTACCTCAAAAGTTATTATGAAACTCTTCAAACCCTCACCAACCAAAATTAATTCTAATTACTTTAATTATTTTATGTAGACATATGGCATGTAACAGTTATGTGGGTCACAAAATGAAATGGATTGCGGTGGGAACTCACCTCCACAAAGGGCTCAGAATTCATCCGTTCCTGCCTCGCCGGCCCCACATCTCTGCCGTTACTAAGGCTTTCGACCTGGCAGCTCAATTCCTCTTGGTTTCTCAACCAAATTTACCCAGCCTGACAATGCTTTAGAGCTCAGCCCCCACCAGGTGGTGGATTAGCATTAGTCTTGCCACTTCAAGTCCTGGTTGCAGTGCCCTGGGATGGCCCTGTAGGCTCCCTCAGGCCCAAACAGCTACGACCTTCACGTTATCCCTCCCCCCCGTCTCTTGTCCTCATACCTGATTCCTGCTCCTCATCTCAACTGTGCATTAGGACTAGAGCTGTGGAAGCCTGCTAATTTATGTGAATTTCCTTTCCCGTTCTCCTTTCCAAATGCCAGACCACTATCTACGGTCTTGCTTCAAATAAGAGCAATTGCCTACTAAGAACAGAATGTTTGTTTCCTCCCAAAATTTATATGTTGACATCCTAACTCCCAGTGTGATGGTATTAGGAGGTAGGACCTCTGGGAGGTAATCAGGTCATGAGAGGGGAGCATGGATGGGTAGAATTAGAGCCCTTATATTAATGAAAAGACAAAAGAGAACTTGTTTTCCCTCTCTGCTCTCCACTGCCTAAGAATACAACCAGGAGACGGCCATCTGCACACCAGAAGTGGCCCTGACCAGACACCGGATCATCTGGCGCCTTGACCTTGGACTTTCCAGGCTCCAGAAGTTCGAGAAATAAATTTCTGGTATTTAAGCCACTCAGTTTATGGTTATCTGTCATAGAAGCTCAAACTAAGACACTACCCTAGTTTGACATTTGTCTAACGAAAGTGCTGATGTTATCACTGCTAATGACACTGCTGATCTCCAGCTCTAGCCACTCGATTAGCGCTGATGGATGTGAACGCCCACCTAGGTCCAGGTCGGGTTTGCCGTGAATCCTTGAGCACTGGGATTTAATGACTGGTTACTCTTGTGAGGGACAGCTCAGCACGTGAGACATCCCCCAGGCCCGATCTCATTCCTTTACTGAAAGCAAAAATCTGGAAAACGAACTGAGAAGCTCGGTATCAGCGTGTTAGCAGTAGTTACCTATTTCCAGGTGATGGAATTTCGGATGATTTTCTTTTTATCCACTTACTTGTCCATATTTTCTAACTTGTCTATAATAAACATATATTATTTTAAAGGACAAAATCAACTAACACTATTTTTAATCAATACTATATCCAAATGTGTTATTGTCACATCAGTAACTAATTAGGCAAACTGCTAAAATGGGCCAATGACTCTTCAAAGTTTCCAAGATTGAGTAACTATGCTCAGCTGTATCAACTGTATTGATTAAGTCTGCTCTTCTGGATAGAGTTTGAGTCATTCATTCACTAAACAAGTGTTTACCGAATACCTACCATATGCCCTGCATTATCACATACATTGGGAATACGAAGATAAATAACATATGATCCCTGCCCCAGAGAAGCCCTCACTCAGTTGAGCAGTAGACATTGAAATATGCCATCACGATACTATGCAATCATTAATTGAACGGATGTATCTATCGCTGGTTTTTCCAATGGAAGGAAGCACTAGAAGAATGCTAGAAAGACTAGAAATGGGCAGGTGTCCTATTCAAGCTATTCCACAAATCAAGCAAAACGGAGGAATGCCTGAACTAGAGCAGCCGCAGAAAGGTTGGAGGAGAAGGGACAGACAGACTATATATAAAATACGTATTTTTATAAAATGAAATCAACATGAGTCGATACTCCGTTGACTGCAGAAGATGAGAGAGAAGGAAAAGTCAAGGGCAATCCAGGTTTCAGGCTGTGCAGATGAGATCACGCCGCCTTTTTCTGGATTACAGTCTTAGAAGAGGAGCCAGTTTGGCGGAGAAGATGGTGAACTCAGTTTGGACACGCTGACTGGGAAGGCCCGTGGGACACCAAGGTAAGGGTGGCCCATTAGTAGTTGGCCACAGTGAGCGAAAGAGAGAGGTCTGAGGAGAGAGACGTGGCGGTGGAAGCCACAGGCATGGACGGTTCTGCCGAAGAAAAGCTTAGACTTAGAAGGCAAGTCTGAAGAAGGAGCGCCGAGGTGGACAGAAGAACTGGACACAGAAGGAGGAGCCCAGGAAAGGTAGTGAGGAGGTGCCAGAAAGATAGCAGAGAACCAGGGCGGATGGTGCCCCAGAAACCAGCAGAGGTGATGGCTTCAGAAACAGGAAAGTGGCGAACAACACCACACTTAGAAGGAATATCAAGAACAGCAACAAGTCCAAGTGTGTTCTGTGGATTTGACAACTAGGAGGTTTGGTCAGGAACAACGGGAACAATGTCAGTAGGGCTATGGTCGAGGGAGTGAGGGATCAGACAGAGAAATCGCAGCAAGCGGGAAGTGAGGGGGAAGAGGAGACAGCAAGCCTAAGCTGCTCTGTGCAGAAGCCACGAGGTCCTCGGGCTTGAAGAACCGATTGAGGGTGCACAGGATGAGAGAGAGTTACACGCTGACTCACAGGGAGAGACTGGAGATACAGAAAGGAAACACCGTTGCCGAGGGAATAAATCTCAGAAGAGGCTGGTCACGTGGGATCCGGAGCGTAGGAGCGAAAAGTAACTGCAGCTAAGAGCAAGGGCACCCGCTTGAGCAGCAGGCGAAGAAGGCGAAGAAGGCAAAGACGGGCACAGCGGAAGGCGCGTCTGTCCACGGGGGACCCGAAACCATGGACTCCTCGTGGAGCGGAAGGCCGAGTCCTACTGGCTGTTCCAGGGGGAGCATTTGGGAAGAGACTTGAAAACCATCACGGCGCTTTGGGACGGGCGGCATGGAAAACGGACGTGAGCTTTGACCAGGAGCGAGTCCTCCGAGCCGCGCGGGGCCCGGAAACGCCGCTGCTGCCGGACGCCTGCGCTGCCTCCCATGCTCCGCTCCCGGCTGTGTCGGCAGTGCCAGGCGAGTAACGAGAGCTCAGGAAAGTTTTATTTATAAATGAACAGACATCTTAGATGTGCAGCAGCGGCCGCGCGAACTGAGGGATCGCGGCCGATGGTTTTCGCAGC